CCCCCCCGCAGGAGCGCTCGCTCCCCCAGTTCCCCCATCCCTCCCACACGGAGCCGCGCTGCTGGCACCCAAAGCCGCGGGGTTTTTCAGCCTGAAAGTTTAAAAACACGAAGTTGCGCCTTGTCCTCAGCAAAGGCAGCGGAACGGCACAACAGCACCCGGTTTTAACCCCGCTGTGACACGAGTTTCCCCACGGAGGGTCTGAACAGCTTCACCTGAGCTGTCGCTGAATAAACCCAGACAAAATCCGATCAATTTTGATGAGAACGCCTTAAAAAAATCACACTTTACGCACAGGATTTTCTGGGGACACAAAACAACTTCCCCGGAGGACCTGTAAGATTTCTTTGTGCCGGGAGAGTTGCAGCCCGCAAGGTTGGTATCCCAGTTCACGCTGGCAGGGAGCAGGATTCGCCCCATCACCGGGGCTGTAACCGGTCCCCAGTTCTCACTGTGGGAATGCACCGCGTAACGCTGACGTTTCCATCTCTCCTCGTTAATCCCTTTTTAAACCCGCTTCCAGTTAACCAGATGCTTCTCCCACTACCAGGCGCCCACCGAAAGCACAAGAAAGAAGCAATAAATAACTCCGGATAACTTATCTACCGGCAAACTGGGGGTCTCCACCCTGTGGGTGGGGAAGATCAAGGCGTCCCGGCGCGCTAAGAAGGTCGGAAAATAGTTGGGTATCGGCTCATCCCGTCCGCAGGATGTTCAGCAATATCGCAGAAGACAAGGCTTGGGAGATCAAAGCCCCGGCTGTATTTGCATTTCAATAAGGCCCTGAGCAAACAGACTGTGGGCTGATACCTCTGTTTGCTCCATGGGAAGGCTGAAAAGTTGCGTATTTCCAATGGGATAATAACTTCCACAAGTTGGTTTTATTCCCCGCGAGTTTGTGACTCGATTGACAAGAGGATTTAGCTTCGAGTGCTCGCTCTCCTGCGATCCTCCGCAGAGAAAGAGGGCTCAAAACTGGAGGATTTGCTTACATCCACCTGTGGGTCCCAAATCTGCAGGAGCCCAGCCCTCTCGTCTCCCTATGGGCTCCCTGGACAGTGTCTTTCCCACAGGTTTAGCCAAACTCGACAGCAAAAACTCAGGAGATCAGGGCCATCATGCCCCACCAGCAGCAAACCCACCCCGAAGGGCGAGGACCTGCAGGAGCACTGCAGATAGCGACCACCACAACAGGGAAAATCTTCTAGAATGGAAGCGTTTTTGGGGATGAGGTGGGAAGGGGATGTTTAATCACCTGGGATGTCCCAGCTTTAAAAGTCAGATGGGGAAAGCAGGGGGTTTGGGCGTCCACGTGGTGCCCATGGGTTGGCACTGTGGCATTTTGAGATGGTTTCTTGCGCAGATGGCGCGTGGATAAGCCGCTCGGCATGCCCGAGCTGTTGCTCCCCATCCTCTCCTTCGCGGGCTGGAATGGCTTTTTATTCCTCTTGGCAGCAGGAAACAAATGGTTAGAGGGAAGGAAAGCCCTGGGACAGACATCTGTGCCAGCCTCGGAGGTGATGTCCCTTCCAGTGAGCAGCTTTGGCGGCCCTCAAGAAATTCAAGAAGGGGTTTTTCTTCTGGAATACAGACCCCTGAACCATTTTGGTAAAATCACCCCCCTCCTTCCCCAGATTCCCTTCCCTTGAAGTGCGGTCGGTCGATTCCTGCGGGCGGAGCCCTGCATACATGCCCGATACAGGCATTTGTGTGCGTGTTTGCTTTCGGCCCCCGCGGTTTCTCAGGGCAGATAGCAGCTTTTGTTCCTTATCTCCTCGGGTCTTCTGCCTCCCTTGGGTCTTTGTGTCATGTCTCAGCTATGGTGATCAAATAAACTGTATTCAAAAAGCGTTCCGAGTCGGGGTTCCATGGCGTTTCCAGCCTTCTCTGCTGATGGTTTAATGTCACAGACCCCTGTGCCCATGCACTCCCGGAGTCTCCTGTGCTCCGAGGGCAGGACAAGAAAACTACAAAACCGTGAAATGAGACTGCAGCGTTTGCCGTCCTCCCTTTGCCTCCCCTTGCCGTTCGGCGTGGCTGGATTTGGATGTGGACATGGATTCTGGGGAGCAACTGCAAGGGAAAGACTCGAGAGAAACCACCTCTGAGGCTGGAGGTTGCAGGGCATGAGTTGGCGAAACCAAGCAGCTGCTCAAGATGACACCGTGGCCGAAGTGCCACCTCTGCAGCTGGAGCACAGATGCAACAACCTCAGCGGCGCCAGCTCTGCACCTCCTGGGCATAAACCACTTTTGGCCTGTCGCTGCTGCCACCGAAACCCACGGCTTTTCAAACCACGGCCAAGACGTTGACTGGCCTCATCCAGAAGATGGATCAGCCCCAGACGGAGGCAGCTTCGTGCCCGGGCGATGGGCAGAAGCGAGATGACGGAGCGGAGCATGGCCGCTGGCCACACTGGCAGGGCACTGCTGTGGGGAAAAACTCCTGTTCCTTGTAAAGGGGAAGGATGGAACCTTCTCCTTTCCCGAGGGGCCGCTCGGTGAGACCTGCTCCGCGACGAATAGTGCCGTCAGCGCAGATAGAGGAGGGGGTGGACCTCACCATCCATATAAAGTGAACCCACTAAGCCGGCAGCCTTGGAGCTGCGAGGTCCAGGAGGGGTAAGGAGAGGGGGGGATTTTCTTGCCCTGTTATTTCATCAGACAGCTTGGGGGGCAGCGGTGGGGGGCTGCAGATGGTGAGCTTCTCCATCAGCCCCGGGCAGGACAACCACTATGTCCCTGTACACGTCCCTGCCAAGCGCCACATCCCAAAACTGGAGTCAAAAGGCCCCACTGGGTGTCAGCTGCAAGCGCTCGGGCATGGTGGTACCTTCACAATGCTGTATACCCACGGTGAGGTTAATGCCACCGAGCGGTGCTGCCAGGGCGCACCTGACCGGCTCCATGCCCTTGGTGTGGGCACGGCGTCTGTCCTGGCCCCGGGGTGCTCCTCATCGCCCACTGTCATGGTTTCCTCCTCCAGGGCCAGCCCGATGATGAAGAATCTCCTCTTTGCCGTGCTCTTGGCTTGCGGTAAGTGCCCCGGTTTCACCGGGCCAGGCTGGGACCTGGTCTGCGTGGCAAAAAAGATGTACAAACCCAGGGTCTTCGTGCACAATTCGGGGTTTTGTTTAAATTTTGCAGTTTCTTTCATGCTCCGTGTAGCACTGCTGTAGTCCTGGAGATCTTCATGATGGCGAGGCTTTGGGATGCTCAGATCCATATTTATTTTAAGAGGCCCTGGAGCCTGTTGTCACCTGCTTTCCTGCCTGTGCCAAGCCCAGGGCTGATCCTGGCAACGTGGTATTGCCGATTGCAAGATGCAGGCATGGCACAGGCTGTACAGAGAGTGATAATATCTTCTGCCAGACCAAATCAGGTAGCTGCAGAAACCAGACATAATCCTGAGGAGCTTTTTTTGGGGGATTTCTCATGGTTCACATGCCTGAAAGCATGTATTTCCAGCAATGACAGACTTATTTAATTTCTCCACCCGGCGCGAGGCGCGGGGGATGCTGCCTGCCTCCTCGCTCCGCACCGGCACGAGCCCGTCCCTCTGCCTCTCCGCAGGGCTGCTGCCGGCTCGCGGCAGCGTGTTGGAGCTGGAGCAGATGATCAAATCGACCACGGGGAAAAGCGCCCTGCTCTCCTACAGCTGGTACGGGTGTTTCTGCGGCATCGGGGGCAGAGGGACCCCGGTGGACTCCACCGACCAGTGAGTATCTGGAAAAACGTCCCTCTGGTGTGGGGTGTCAGAGAATGGTTTGGATTGGAAGGGTCAAAAAAACCTAAGTGCCTAAAAAAACTCCTCGCTGGCAGCCTGCTGGCACTGATGTGCTCCGAGAGGGGGTTTTACGCCGTTCCCCAGCCACATCTTGCTGCTTAAATTTGAAGCTGGACCTTCCTTTACCTTCCAAGCATGGTGAGGGAGGGTTCGGGGGACAGCAGTTTGAGACGGTGCCCCCGGCAGGGGCTGCCATGCCCACGACTGC